CTCTTGCTATGGTAAACCACTCCAGAATGGCCACCGGGTTTCCCAGAGTTCTAGGTCTTCTTCCCAGGAGAGTTTTTAATTGTAAATGCAGACTGGGAAGGACTTACACTTTTAAACTGATTTTTGCTTCTGCTTCTCCCTGACTCCCTTTGCTCGGAGCCAGCTGCACACCAGTAGTACGGCATGCTGCAGTCGGTGTCTGTCCTGAAGGCTTTGCCTCTTTCTTGGCAAAGTTTCTGGTATGGTCAAGCTTGTAAATAACTTTTTTTACATTTTAATCTTTTCCATTAATTAAGAGGTTGAAAAGAAGTGCAGTGTAAGAAAACCCAGCATTTTAATTACTTGCAAATTAAGTTACCACAGACTCTGTAGTGTGTAAATGTTGACAAGGAATTGGATCACAATCATGTAGCAGAATGGCACCCAGACTGCTGCCCGCTAGTGATGGACACCCACGTGGAAGATCGTGATTTCCAGCCCATGGAGCCAGCATTTGAACCTTGTACAATTAACTTTCAGTTATGATTTCCCATCTACATTTTCTTTGCTCTGTTTGTAGCTGAATTTTGTGTTTTATGACTCCTCTGTTCAAGCAGAAGGGTGATTATGAGTGGGTCACAGCAGCCCTTAAAAGCTGGGCCAGAAAATTTCACTAGGTCAGTAATTTAAACTTTGGATCTGCAAAAAAATAAAAATAATAAACAATAATAATGTGAAACAAAACCAACTAAAAATGATTCTTGCACATGAACTGTCACATGTTTGAAATGTGTTTTTTAGAGAGCCTCAGTCTTGCTGATTTCAAACACTTTTTTCTTCTGTGTATTGCTTTTAAAAGAGCCATCAGTTAGCTATCAGACTCTAGGTTGATGCATTTTGTACTTAGCTGTACTGTGTGATATTTTTCATTATTTTAGGACGCCAACATGAGACCTGTAATAAAATATGTAATGGGGTTGAAAGCTGGGGAGGAGGATCTACTGCTGTACAGCTAATAAATCATAACGGATTAACAAGTGCTCCAGACACTCCGTCACGTGTGATCTATGCTTAATGGGGGCCCCAGAGGGTCCGCATGGCCTCGGGTGCAGGCCTGGTCGCCTTTCAGAGGCACACTCTATTCTCAGAGGCCACTTCCTCTCGAGACAGCACTTGGAAGATGATCTTGGCAAATGGTGGGATTATTGAGTGAATCCTGCTGTGGGTTTCTAACTCCCCAAAGGGGTGAGTAGCAAATGTGGATGAACGACTGCTCGCCCCGTGATCCACCTTAGGAGTGGTCCCTGTGGCAGAAGGGTGACCAGAGGTTAGAGATGCAGGGGCTCGTGGGAAGTTCTGTCCTCTGAGGCTCAGTTCAGTGAAGCCTGAGATCTGTACCTTGAATTCTGCCAAGTGCAGGATGACAGGCAGGGCCCATTTTGCCTCAGAGAAGCTCCTGTGGGAGGGAGGCCGGTGAGTCCACGAGCTGCAGGGACAGAGCCCTGCAGGGGCAGGTGCAAGGGAGTGGGAATAGGAAGTTGATGTGTTAGTGAAACACCTGCTGCTGCTGCTGGCCATTTCTGGACAGAGGGTTCGGCAAACCCATTTTAGGTAAAAGCTTCAGCCACTAATTCTAGGGCTTTTTGACCAGAATTCTGAATTGGTGGTTTCCAGTGAGAAGTAACAAAAGATAAGGTATGTGTGACCCCTTGGCTCTTGTCCTGTCCACGTAGTCCCATCTCCCAGGAAAACAGGTAACGAGGCCTCAAGACTCAGAACCTGGCAGTCCGCTCTTTGGACCGAGTGTTAGTGGCCTGAGGCTGAGTGTGGGGCTCTTTGTCTCACGCATGGGCCAGCCCCTTTGGAGGCCAGAGTACCCCCCCTACCATGTTTCGGTGGATGTATATAATTTGCTTAATTTTTTTGGTGTTTATAATCTCCAAGGAACAGTAAGTAAGTTCTTTATCTCTTATCTTCAGCATAGCTTTTTGTTGTTAAGACTTTATTTATTCATGAGAGACAGACGGGGGTAGAGACGTAGGCAGAGGGAGAAGCAGTCTCCCCTTAGGGAGCCTGATGTGGGAGTCTGATCCCAGGATCCCGGACTCACAACCTGAGCCAAAGGCAGATGCTCAACCAAGGAGCCACCCAGGTGACCCCCAGCATAGCTTTTTATCTCTCGTGTAAATTCAAGTTGTTTTAAATAAAAGTAGGTCAGTTTTGGATGGAGAGGGGGCAAGAAAAGTCATTCTGATGAAGTAGAAACTTAAAGGGGATCCCCTATTGCGTAGCCCATGATATACCCCATGTGACTCCATTATGTATAAAACCTTTTATTTGGGACGCCTGGGTGGCTCGGTGGTGGAGTGTCTGCCTTCGGCTCAGGACGTGACCCCGAGGTCCAGGACTGAGTCCCGCATCGGGCTCCCTGCAGGGAACCTGCTTCTCTGTCTCTCATGACTAAATAAAATTTTTTTAAAAACACCTTTTAAGATACAGATTTTATATTTATATATAATCAAAGTACAGAAGCCACTTCGCACCAGAGAACTTTTGATGGGGTCGTTACCCGCTGTTAAGCCATTATTTCCTTCCACACCTGGGCTGGCGCCACCCTGTCCCTGCTGCCCAGCCCAGCAAGCAGCTGGGCCCTTCGCTTCCTGTGGCCGCGACCTAGTCTTTTAAAACCCTCTGCAGGGAGCCTGGTGGCCGCCCGGGAGGTGCAGCCTGGCGCTGCTGGGGCGGGCGGGGCCTGTGCCTCCCGATGCGCTGTGGGCATTTCCCGCGCGTCCTCGGGGTGTGGTGCCCTCTAGGACGCAGACAAGCTGAAGGCCTCTCCGCCTGCGCTGGGTCACGGCGGTTAGGAGCTGAGTCCCTGTGTTCACCTGGTCTCTGACGGAGGTTGTAGTTCTGTCGCCGCCGTCCTGGCCGCCAGCAGTTGAGAGTGTGGCTAGCCTGTACCCCTGCCCTGACTTCCGCGCGATTCTGGTTGGCCCTCCCCAGACGGGGCACGTACCAGCCGTGTGCCGGCCTGGGGTCCCCGCTGCAGTCCTTCCCTCTTCGCGTCCTAATCCTCCTCAGCAGAAAAACCCCAGCGAGGTGGGTCTTCTCTTGTTCTGCCGTGGAGCCCTGGGGTTGCCCTGGCCGGCTTGGCAGAGGAGTCCACAGCGCCAGGCCCTGTGCTGGGCGCTCGGGCAGCATTTGCTCCTTACAGCAGCACTGAGGTGAGCTAATAGCTCCACTTACAAAGCGGGAACTGGAAGCCCAAAAAGGTTGACCAACTTACTTAGTGTGGAACACCTGGTGAGAGGTGGGGTGGGAGGTAAGTTCAGGCAGTCCGCCTTCAGGCCTAGCGCTGTTTTCTTAAAGCTTTTATTTGTTTGTTTATTATTTATTTATTTATTCATGGGGGGCGGGCAGAGACACAGGCAGAGGAGAAGCAGGCTCCGTGCAGGGAGCCCCATGTGGGATTCGATCCGAGACTCCAGGATCACGCCTTGGGCTGAAAGGCGCAAAACAGCTGAGCCACCCAGGGACCCCCTAGGACTAGCGCTCTCCACCTTGGCCTGCGGTGAGTGCCAGAGACCTACTGAGTTCTCACTCTAAGCCTTGTGGGTTCTATGTGGTCTTGGAGTCCTAGGTCTTAACCCAAACTCATCTTTCAAACTGGGTGACAGCAGAGCCGACTGGTGCCTCTTTGCAGGAACAGCTTCTCCGACTGAGTCCTCCCATCAGCCCTAGCTAGTCCTCTGCTTTCATACCATAGGCCTTTTGCCTGAGGGGAGGCTTTGCTCAAGCGGCCACTGTTCAGTTTGGCCCGGCACTTTGTCTCAGTCCCCTGCAGAGAGGAGATTCTGCTGAGAGGTGGAATGACCATATGCCTGGAGGAGGTTCCCACTTCTCTCCACCCTGAGGTGGGGAGGGGTAACTAGGTGCGGAGGAAGCCAAGGGACCCTGCTGACCACCTCTCATCTCCTCTCAGGGCTATTTCACCCCCACCTGGCTGAGCTGTAGGCAGGGGCAAAGGTCTGTTCCTAATACGTAGAGTTTAATTGGATTGTAGTGGAAGAAAATAATAATTCTCCTGTGAACCCGCATCTTTTACAGGGCAGCATGCTTCTGGTTAGCAGGACCCCACCCCATGACCTGCTGCCCCTCCCAGCCCTGGAGACACTAGCTTTCCCCTCCTCTAGGGGTTCCCCTCTCCCTAAGCTCTCTCCAGCAGAGGTGAGGGCCCGTGGAAGGGAGAGGCCCCCCATGTACCTGGCCTTTGCTCACCCCTCATCGCCTGAGAATACTCCCCACCTTCCAGCCTTCAACTGGCCTGAACCTGATGAAAGCTGAGGACCCCGCACTGCAGAGCCTCCATCTGGCATTTTTCCTGCCATTTCAAAAGCTGGCGGATTGCCGGGACGCTTGGCTAGCTCATGTGACAGAGCATGCGACCCTTGATCTTGAGACCGTGAGTTCGAGTCCCCCTAGGGATTACTTAAATAAGAATTGGTGGATCTCCCACGGGGTCACAGACTCCGGGTTAGGACCAACAGATTAGATCCCTCAGGTACCACCCGGGTGTTAGGAAAGATCCTGGGAGAGATCTGATGCTCCTTGCTGAACAGACGCTCCTCCTGGCGGCCCCCTGTCCGCCTCCACAGCCGGATTTTGGAGGACAAACGCGGGTGGGCCGCAGGGATTCCCCGAGCGGGCAGCGCCCCCTGGTGCCCGCGGCAAGGACTGCGGCGCGGGGTGGAAGTTCGGGGTTAGGACCCACAAGAGGCGCGCGCCACGAGCACGACCCCCCTCCGCCCTCCGCCCCCCCCCACCCCTACGCCTACCCCTACCCCACGGCTGCCCTGCCCGAGGAGCTCCGGCGCGGCAGGGCGGGCGGACAGCTGGGACTCTGCCCCCCCTCCTACGTCTCCCGGCCGCGGAGGCCGAGGCGGGGAGGAGCCGGGCTGGGGGCGGCCTGGCAGGAAGCCGCGCGTACCTTCCGCCGCAGGAGGAGCAGGTGGCTGCAGTGCGGGCCGGGCCCCCAGGCTTCCTGTGTGCGCGCCCGCCCGCAACTGCTTCTCGGAGCTGCTTGGGCCACCCCGCGGCCCCATGGCCCAGACCCCCGACGGCGGCATCTCGTGCGAGCTGAGAGGTAAGCTCACCCGGCGGGGCGGCCGGCCCCCGCGAGCACTTCTCTCTGCTCCTGGGAAGGGCCTGGCGCCCCCACCTCCACTCCGCCCCTTGCTGCTGGCCCACACATGAGCCCAGGCCACAAGCCTGGTACAGACCACGGCCCGAGTGACCTCGAGGGATGACCAAAGTCACTCAGCAGGCTGCCATTCCACAGGCGAGATCACCAGGTTCCTGTGGCCCAAGGAGGCCGAGCTGCTGCTGCAGACCTGGCTACCCGAGCGGGAGGGTGCTGAGCGAGGTCATGTCCTGGTACGGCAGGGGCAGAGCCCGGGAGGGCCGCGGGGCGGGCGGAGAGCCTCCTGGCCTGCCCAGGGCTCAGACGCTCCCTCCCGCAGGCGCTGCTACGATGGCGAGCCTACCTGCTCCACACCTGCCTCCCCCTGAGGGTGAGTGGAGGCTGACTGCCGCCCCACCTCGCCCTCCGCAGCTTCCTTGGTGAGAGCTGCGTCCCCGACTTGTCTGGGGGCTCCGGCCTTCCAACGGCACTGGGCTCTGAGGCAGGCAGGGCTGGCTCTGAGCTCCGGGCTGCCTGGGGGACTGGGATCCTAGGAGCGGGGGGGCTAGGGCCTCAGTTCCAGCTGATTGGGGCACTCCATAGGTGGACTGCACATTCAGCTACCTGGAGGTCCAGGCCATGGCGCTGCAGGAGACACCCCCTCAGGTGAGACAGCTGGTACCCCCCCCCCCCATGGCCTGCAGACTGGTTTTTGCCCCTGCTTCCATCTTTGGCCACAGGTGGAGCCCAATCCAGCAGCCCTCCCTCCCCAGGTGACTTTTGAGCTAGAGTCCCTGCCTGAGCTGGTCCTGGAGTTTCCTGGTGTGGCTGCCCTGGAACAGCTGGCCCAGCACATTGCTGCAGCCATCAAGAAGGTCTTCCCTTGCTCCACCCTTGGGTGAGGCCCAACGACAAGGGACCAGCAGGAAAGGAGGGGTGTGCTCTGGATGACATAAGTGGGTTGCCTCCCATCCCAGGGGCTACAAGTCCCCTTCTCCCCCTCCCCAGGAAGCTATTCCGGAGGCCCACATCCCCCTCCATGCTGGCTCGCCTGGAGAGAAGCAGCCCCTCTGAGGACACTGTGCCCAGCAGCCCCTGTGGTAAGGGCCAAGAAAAGGCCACACAGGGCTTCCAGTGTATCCCTATCCTGCAGCCCCAGACCCCTGAATTGACGGTCTCCCAAACTGAACAGTCACTCAAAGCATAGCCACCACGCAGCTTGGGTCTGATCTTCTCTCTCTGACCTTTTTTCTCTCTCCTTCTCCTCTTCACTCCTTTACACCCCTGGCACCTCCCCCAGGTGGCTTCTTGGAGACATACGAGGCCCTGTGTGACTACAATGGCTTCCCTTTCCGAGAGGAGATTCAGTGGGTGAGAGTACGGCCCTCCTCGGGGGCTCTAGAGATATCTGGTCCCCCATGTGCACTGGGTCCCCTTACCCCTTGTGACCCCAAGCCAGTTGGAGACATCTTCTTCCCATCCAGGATGTGGACACCATCTACCATCGTCAGGGCTGTCGCCACTTCAGTCTATGCGACTTCAGCCATCTAGGCAGTCGGTCTGTGGCCTGCCAGGCCTGGGAAGGGAGGGAGATCCCATGACCCGCATTCCTGGGCCTCAGCCTCTCCATGGAGGGGTATGTGGGCCTAGGATCTGGCTGGAGGGCCCTGAACTCCACCCCTGCCCCTTCCCCCACCCAGGGACCTGGCCTTGAGTGTGGCTGCCCTGTCCTACAACCTATGGTTCCAATGCCTCTCCTGTGTGGACATGAAGCTGGTAAGAGTGTAGCGGCAGGGAGGAGCAAGGGCGTGGGGACCAGCCTGCGACTCACTGAGCCCCCACTCTGGTTCTCAGAGCCTTGAGGTCTCAGAACAGATTCTGCACATGATGAGTCAGTCGTCCCACCTGGAGGAGCTAGTGCTAGAGAACTGCGGCCTGAGAGGGTAAGGGCGGCAGGGCAGGGCTTGGGACAGAAGTCTGGGAGCTTGGGATCCGACGGAGGCTTGTGGCCTGGAGGAGATGGGAATCTCACGCCTGGGGTCTGGTCCCCAGAGACTTTGTCCGGCGACTGGCCCAGGCACTGGCGGGGCACTCAAGCTCCGCCCTCCGGGAACTTAGCCTAAATGGGAACCTGCTGGACGACCGAGGTACGCGGGGCCTAGGGACGCCCGGGGGGCTGGTGCTGGAGGAAGTGCGGCAACACAGCTGCCCCCGTTCCCCAGGCGTGACTGCTCTCAGCAGACACCTGGAGCATCGCCCAGGAGCCCTAAGGAGGCTCGGCCTGGCGCACACAGGGTTGACCCCGAGAGGTAGGTCGGGGCCCAGCGGGGCGGGGCGGGGGGGGCGGGGGTGCCTGACTGCCGCGAGCCACCCCGTCCTCCGCCCCCAGGAATGAGGTCTCTGGGCCGCGCACTGGCTGCCAATGTGGCCTTTGACACCGCCCTGACCCACCTGGACCTTTCCGGGAACCCTGGGGCGCTGGGGGCGTCGCAGGACAATGGGGTGAGTGTCTTGGGAGGCGAGGGCGGGCGCTGCAGGCAGGGCTGTCGGGCTCCCCGAGCGGCGGTCCCTGACCCTCCGGCCACCTCCCGTCAGGGCCTCTACGCTTTCCTGAGCCGTCCTAACGTTCTGACGTTCCTGAACCTCGCGGCCACCGACGCCGCCCTGGACACTGTGAGAGGCGGGCCGCGGGGGGCGAGCGGGGGGCGCGGCCGGGCGGGGGCGGAGGGGGCGCGGCCGGCGTCCGAGTGGCCCACACCCTCCTCCCGCAGCTCTTCGCCGCGCTGGCCCGCGGCTGCTGCCCCAGCCTCCGCCACCTGGACGCCTCGAGGAACGTCTTCTCCCGCACGTAAGGGGGGCGGGCCGGGGGGGCCGGGAGCCGCCTCCCCGCGCCCGGAAGCCCACTCCTCCGCTCGCCCACCCCAGGAAGTCCCGGGCCGCGCCCGCCGCGCTGCAGCGCTTCCTCAGCCGCGCGGGGACGCTTCGGCACCTGGGCCTGGCGGGCTGCAGGCTGCCGCCCGACGCGCTCAGGTCAGTCGCCGCCCCCGCCCCCGGGGCGCCCCCCCCCGCGTCCCGGCCCTTCCTGCGGGGAATCCGTCGCGCCTGGGGCCCCCTCTCCCAGCTCCCGCCACCCCGGTGACGTCCCCTCCCAGGGCCCTTTTGGAAGGCCTCGCGCTCAACACGCACACGGGCGACCTGCACCTGGACCTCAGCGCCTGTGAGGTGAGCGCCGCACGCGCCCGGGGCTGCGAGGCGGGGCGGGCCGGCGGGCGCCTGAGCCTCCGCACCTGTGGCCCGCTGGTCTGAGCGCCGCCTGTCACCTTCAGCTGCGCTCAGCCGGCGCTCAGGTGATACAGGACCTGGTGTGTGACGCCGGCGCCGTGAGCTCCCTGGATTTGGCCGATAATGGTGAGGCCGCCCCGAAACCCACCCTCCCACTGCCCACCCCGTTCCCACCCCAGCCCCACCCCCTCCGCCTCTCCTGATGCGTGACCCGAGGCGCCCCTAGGCTTCGGCTCAGACATGGTGACCCTGGTGCTGGCCATCGGGAGGAGCCGGTCCCTGCGACATGTGGCACTTGGAAGGAACTTCAACGTCCGGTGCAAGTGAGCCCCCATTCCACTCCCTCCCGGGCCTCCCAGACAGCACCCCGCCACCCGACCGGGTCCTTCCAAACCACGGCTCCTGCCCCACAGGGAGACCCTGGACGACGTCCTGCACCGCATTGTCCAGCTCATGCAGGATGACGACTGTGTGAGTCTGGGGGCCACGCGGGATCCTCAGGCAACGGGCCCCTGTGGCTCCTGCTCCCTCAGACCCTGCAACCTGCCCTCCTTGCTGATCGCTGATTCCGGACCCAAATGGCTTTTCCTTAACTCCAGCCCTTGCAGTCTCTGTCCGTGGCTGAGTCGCGGCTAAAGCAGGCCTCCAGCGTCCTGCTCCGGGCCCTGGGCACCAATCCCAACCTGACGGCGCTGGACATCAGCGGCAACGCCATGGGTGACACCGGCGCCAAAATGCTGGCCAAGGCACTTCGGGTCAACACCAGGCTCCGGTGGGCGGGGGCGGGGCAGGAGGGCGGGGCGGGGCGGGCGGGCTAAGGGGCAGGGCGGAAGGTGGAGGAGCAGAGGCAGCCGACTGGAGCGCGAGGTGACTGGACCTGGCCCGCGGGTTGGGTGGAGCCTGCGGAGCTCTGCCCTTGACTGAAGCCCGGCCTGGCCCAGGTCTGTGGTCTGGGACCGGAACCACACGTCTGCCCTGGGCCTGCTGGACGTGGCGCAGGCCCTGGAGCAGAACCGCAGCCTAAAGGCCATGCCTCTGCCACTGAACGACGTGGCCCAGGCACATCGCAGCCGCCCGGAACTGACCGCCCGCGCAGTGCATCAGGTGTGGGTCCCTCTCTCCTCGTCCCTGCCCTGTTCTGTGCCCTGGCCCCGCCTCCTACCCCTTCTCAATATCCCTTGTGCCCAGATCCAAGCCTGTCTTTTGAGGAATAACCGTGCGGACCATGCCTCTTCTGACCGCATGCCCCGGCCGCGGCCACCTGGTCTGGTCTCAAACCCCTCAGAACAGGTTAGTGTCTCCTCTCTCAGCCTTGAGTAGGCACAGAAGATTGGGGATGGGAAGAGCTGTAGCCGCTGGAACCCTCCAATGAGTTTGAGGGTCTGACTTTCTTGGGGCGAGGCTGCCTAAATTATACTCTCCAGGACAGGTAGCTCTCCCAAATAACACCCCCGGATGACTTTTAGAAGCATTTAAATAGGTTCTTCTGTTTAAGATGGTAGATATTTAAAATTTCTCCCTTAATTCACTCCCCACCCCCAGCTGATTGTAGCCCCATCTGTGACTTGCCTTTTGCAGGGCTCTCTTCTCTACCGACCTCTGCTGGGGCCAAACCCAGCAACCCTTTTCCCTGGCTTCGTCCCTCTCCACTACCTTGCCTTTGTGCCATGTTCCCACCTATTCATTCCCAAATTCCCCTTCTTTCCCAGGCTTTTGAGCCCAGGCATCTTGACCCAGACATTCTACAGGGGCTTCACATTCTGTACACCTTAAAATGATTTTATCACCTCCCAGAAACCCTTCTCTCTACCCTAGAACCCATTCTCACCCGTGCTCAAACTGACCAAGTGTTTTGGACAGGGGTTTGGGCCAGGTCTCTCCTGGCCATATTAGAACCCCCACGGAGCTCCTTGCTCCTATCTCTGCTAATTCTCCAACACACTGCTCCTCACCCCCACCTCAACTATCTTCTTGCTCCTCCCGGTCCTTCTTCCATGTCTCTTCCCAATTCTGCCCACCGCATCCTGTCCTCTATGTGGCTAGTAAGCAGAGTGATCTAAAAACATAGACGTGCCTAACCGTTCCTTGTCTTCCTGCTCTGGACACCCTAAAATGAACCAAAGGAGACACTGCTTGCCCTCCTTGAACAGATAGGGTCCGTGAGTGGCTGGCCGGATAGTATTGGCTCCAGGACCTCACTCACCCTGTTGGAGACCCTGGGAAGGAAGCAGAGTCCAGGGGGCTGGAGGGGATCAGGACTTCACTGATTCTTGATGCACACCTCCTCCCCCCTAGGAAGTGAATGAACTGTGTCAGTCAGTGCAGGAGCACATGGAGCTCCTGGGCTGTGGGGCTGGACCTCAGGGTGAAGCTGCTGTGCACCAGGCAGAGGATGCCATCCAAAATGCCAACTTCTCTCTCAGTGTGAGCACGCCTTCCCCAACCGCTGCTGCAGGGACCCTTCCTCTCTTAATCAGGTGTCAACTTGAAACTCCTTCTCTTACTTGGCCTCCAGATCCTCCCAATTCTGTATGAGGCTGGGAGCTCCCCAAGTCACCAGTGGCAGCTGCGGCAGAAGCTAGAGGGCCTCTTAGGACAGGTGGGTGAGGTCTGCCGCAAGGATATTCAGGTAAGATGGTACCCTTGCCCCAACCCCACCTCCGTAAACAGGCTTGACACCTATCTCATAGGTTTGACTGTGTTATCCCTTGTGTCAATGTTCTGTGGGGGCTGGAGCCTCAGGCCACACTCTCCATGCTCTGATCTTTGCCCAGGACTTCACTCAGGCCACACTGGACACAACAAGGAGCCTCTGCCCACAGATGCTACAGGGACCCAGGTGGAGGGAGCAGCTAGAGGGGGTCCTGGTGGGCTCAAGGGGCCTCCCAGAGCTGCTCCCAGAGCACCTACTACAAGATGCCTTCACTAGGCTCAGGTGGGCTGGATGGGCCTGGGCTGGACTGGAATGAACAGGACTGGGCAGAGATAGCTCATTCATCTTTGCTCTCTCTCGCTCTCAGGGATATGCGGCTGTCAGTTACAGGGACCTTGGCAGAGAGCATTGTGGCTCAGGCTCTGGAGGGGCTGAATGCAGCCCGGGATCGGCTGGTGAGGGACAATCGTGCACATGCACCACATGCACGCACAGGCACACGCACCCACATACCCACAGTGACCTGCCACTGCCTTGCAGGGGTTCTGTAATGTCTTCTGGGGTCCTATAGCCCAGAGATATTTCAGGGTTCCTTTAGGACTGATGGGACTATGGCTGAGGCCCAACTGCCTGTCTTTGGGGTGCCTGGTATTGCAGGTAGAGAATCTGGCTCGGCAGGCAACAGTGGCAATGCCTCTTGCTATACCAGCGCTGGATGGAGGTGAGACCAGCCCCCTTGGGCCTGGGGAATTGGAAGGTCTTTTCTTCCCTGAGGAGGTGAAGGAAAAGCAAGAGGATGAAGAAGAGCAGAAGGTATGTGGTCTCAGAACTCTAGATCTTCCCATCTTGTTATGGAGTGTGGAAGGCAGGGAGGCAGCTTCCCTGTGTCCCAGGCTGAGTTTCTGCCCTCCCCACTAGGATGACAGTCCTCCACAAAAATGGCCTGAGTCCAGCCAGTGCCTTCATTTGGTTCCCTCCACTCACAGTAAGTCAGGGTCTGGGGAAAAGGGAATTAACCAGGTCGGGCTGAAAGTTCTTCATTAGTTCTGGGGACCTGGACACGTGGATACATTCAGTCTTGTCCAAGGAATTCCCTGACCCTTGACTGAGCCAGCCCAGGCCCTCTGCAACTTGCAGGCTGGGGTCTGCTGTGGTCGGCGTGGAGCAGGACCTGAGCAGACCAGGACCCGGCCACGGCCGCCGTCTCCATTCGCCTCCCCCGCCCCTTTCCCCACCCCCAGGATGCGCATGCTTGGAGGCAGCGCAAAGCCGCGCCGCTCGGGGCCGCGCTCAGCACCGCGGACAGCGGCGCGGGGGAGGGGCGGGGGGGGCGGGCGGCGTAGCCGGGCCCCTCCCCGCGCCCTGGGCGGGTCCCCCGCCGCCCTAGCGCCGCTGTCACCACCACCTCCCCACCTCCCCTGGCTCGCTGCTCGGTGCTCTTCTGGTGCTCTCCCCTTAGGTGCTGCTGAGGTACCGGAGCCCGAGCTGGCGGCTCCGGGGGAAGATGCGGAGCCGCAGGCGGGGCCTTCTGCGCGTGGCTCTCCGAGCCCCGCCGGCCCCGGGCCCCAGGCCGGCCCACTGCCTCGCATGGACCTGCCACCCTCTGGACAGCCCCTGCGCCATCCGACCCGGGCCCGGCCGCGGCCACGGCGCCAGCACCACCACCGGCCGCCGCCGGGGGGCCCCCAGGTGAGTGCCCTTCCCCCCCTCTAGAGCTCTTGGAATTGGGGGTCACGAGTGGCTTGTTCGCTCCTCAGGAGTGATGGCGGCTAGGGAGGTGGGTTGTAGGGGCCCAAGACCACCTAGTCGTGCTGCCGTGTCTTGGCTTCTTCCTGGCCACCCCTTCCCCAGGTTGTTCCCATGCAGGGTCATGAGTGTGTGGATTTCACTGGGGGTAGATCTCAGTTTGGGACTGCACTTTGTGTTGGCCCTTTGCATGGATGGATGTGCGAGGGAGGGTGTCCATCTTATCCTCCCTCTTCCAGGGTTCCTGAAAGATGCTGGGCCCCCAGGCTGAGGGGAAAATCCTGCATCTACTGCAGGTCCAGTGGGTGTTTATATGAGATGTGTATGTGCGCTGGGTACTGGTGGGGGCAGCGGACACAGGGCAGAAGGCAGAGAGTCAGCTTGAGGCCCCCCAGAGGGTCTGACGCAGCAGCAGGCGCCGCTGAGCTGCCAGCAGGCCGGGTGGGGTGGGGGTGGAGGGTACTGCAGGGAACTGTTTGGAGCAGAGGGGGTGGCAAATGGGAATGTGTGACCCAGGGGGCCTCTGGGTTCTAGCCTGCTGGTTCAGGGTGTGTAAGAGACTCCATGGGACAAGAACAGGTGTGGGCCAGGTTTGTGTGTCCAGGGCCAACTACTGGCGAGGGGATATGAGAAACTAGCATCTCTGCCCACCAGCTGCACAGGAAGGTTTGTCAGTAGCCCCTTAGGGTCACTCCATCTCCCGGGTCCTGGAGTTGCCTAGGCCAGGTTGCTGGACAAGGGGTGGAAAGAATTCATGGTGTGCTCAGCCCTGACCCTATGGTGTCCCCCAGGTGCCCCCAGCCCTGCCGCAGGAAGGGAATGGGCTCAGTGCCCGCGTGGACGAGGGCGTGGAGGAATTCTTCTCCAAAAGGCTGATCCAGCAGGATCGCCTGTGAGTGAGGGGCAGTTGTAGTGGGTGGGAGGGGGTGGGCTGTTCCATGGGCCTTCCCACTCACTGCTGGCTGTTCCCACAGCTGGGTCCCTGAAGAGGACCCGGCCAACGAGGGGGGTGCCACCCCTGTCCCTCGTACACTGCGAAAGAAGCTGGGTACCCTCTTTGCCTTCAAGAAGCCTCGTTCAACACGGGGGCCACGGCCTGAACTAGAGACCAGCCCTGGGGCAGCTCCCCGCACTCGAAAGACCACTCTTGGAGACCTGTTGCGGCCACCAGCCCGTCCTGGCCGTGGTGAGGAGCCTGGTGGGGCTGAGGGGGGCACCAGCAGCCCTGACCCTGCCCGCAGGAGCCGGCCTCGTTATACTCGGGAAAGCAAAGCCTATTCAATGATACTGCTACCTGCTGAAGAGGAGGAGGAAACACTGGGTGCCAGACCTGACAAGGTAGGCCTGGTGACAAGGGGTGAGGGCTCTGCTAGGACTGAGGCAGTGGACTCTCTCCCCATCTGAGCTTCTCTGTCCTCAGCGACGTCCCCTGGAGCGGGGAGACACAGAGCTGGCCCCATCTTTTGAACAGCGGGTCCAAGTGATGCTGCAGAGGATCGGTGTGAGCAGAAGCAGCGGGAGTGCCGAAGGCAAGAGGAAGCAAGTAAGTTGGGAGGGATGCAAGTGCAAAGTGAGGGGGCAGGGGACATGTGGCTTGTGGCAGTCTGTGGGTGACATATGTGACCAGAAGGAGACTCATGACACACACACTGCTCTATTGGTTCCACCCCCTCTTCCTCAAAATAGTCATTGGCTTCAGCCTTTCTTCCTTCGTGGCTTCTGCCCTGGCCACTGCTGTCTCTTCCTTGGAGCTGGGATGGTCCTTTCTCTGTAGATTAACAAATCCCTGACCTTGCATTTGCATTTGAAACAAGTCCCCCAGGGACTTTCCCCTAAAGATCCTGTCTGGGTTCCTAACCCTGCCCAAGGCCTCAGACCCGTCACTTCTTTCATCTCACTGTGCTCCATCTGTGGCATCTCAGCGCCTTGTAACCCGTTCCTCTGTTGGGAGCTCCTCCTTGGCTACTTCCAGCCTCTCATCACCACCCATGGGTTGCATCAGCTTCCTCTTTACCCATCCCTGCATCTCCTGGTGGGCATTTAGTGGTAGTTACAAGAATGAAGAAAGAACAAGGCTAGAGTGAGGGCAGGACCGGACTGAGTTTGACTTCCCTGTTTCCTACAGAGCAAGGATGGAGAGATCAAGAAGGCTGGCTCAGATGGTAAGTGGGACCCTGTCCTAGGATAGTACCATTTTGGTGAGGGAGTTGTCCTTAAAGATAGTCTCCAAGGCATTTCTTGTCCTGGGGTTTAAAGGGAAAGAGGCCAGGTTTTTCTTCCCCTACCTCCCAAGGGCTGGTGCTTGAACCCCCAGCCCCTCCTTGCAGGTGACATCATGGACAGTTCCACAGAGGCCCCTCCCATCTCCATCAAGTCCCGCACCCACTCCGTGTCTGCTGGTGAGTAAGGGCTGCTATCTGTTGGGGGGACATGCAAGGATAGGCAGGAGGGAGATCAAACCATTGATTAGGCTCATACCCTTCTCCCTTCAGACCCCTCGTGCAGACCTGGTCCAGCGGGTCAAGGGCCTGAGTCTACCAGCTGGAAGACACTGGGGCAGCAGCTGAATGCAGAGCTCAGGGGCCGTGGTTGGGGCCAACAGGATGGTCCGGGCCCCCCCTCTCCTTGCCCCAGCCCCAGCCCACGAAGAGCCAGCCCCTCCCCAGACAGCCTGGGCCTCCCAGAGGACCCTTGCTTGGGCCCCAGGAATGAAGGTAAGCAGGTACCCTAGCTCCCACTCCAATACTGGGCTCCCCAGCCGGACAGAGGGGGAGGCAAGGGATGGGGATAGCTGTCCAGACCATCCCCTGATACCCTGGCCTCCTCTAGATGGCCAACTGAGGCCAAGGCCTCTCTCGGCAGGGCGACGAGCAGTGTCTGTGCATGAGGACCAGCTCCAGGCCCCTGTTGGTGAGGGGGGACACCTCCCTGTGTGCTTGAGTGCAGGAGACGGGGGAGGGTAGACTCCAGGACTCCCTTCATGGCCCTGGTCCTTGGAGGGGGCCACCAGTGATATGAGATTGCACAGCCAGGGAGCCAGAAGGCATGGAGCAAGGGTCTGACGAACCCTTCCTACTAGCCCTAACTCACGAGGGGTGGGAGGAGGCAGGGGAAGGGGGGGACGCTCTGCAGGCAACAGTGTGTGCTCATGCATACACACAGTGGAAGTCCAGGAGGAGGGGTGGGAACAGGCACCCCCCCTTGCCAAGTATTTGTGTCTCTCAGAACGGCCCCTGAGGCTGCAGCGCTCCCCTGTCCTCAAGCGGAGGCCGAAGCTTGAGGCGCCCTCCTCTCCAAGCCTCGGTAAGAGGCAGCTGGGGCCACTGGGGAGGGGAGCAGGACTGCTTGGTCCAGTCTTGACCCCTTCTCTGCCTTTCTCCTTCCCTTGCAGGATCTGGCCTTGGAACCCAACCTCCACCCCCACAGCCTACAGAGCCCTCCAGCCCCGAGCCAACCCCCCCCTCCCCAGCCACAGACCAAAGAGGCGGCGGCCCCAACCCCTGATCCCTCTCCTTTTCCTGCCGCATGAGATTATTTTATTAAAAAACTCAAAGGAGCAGAGTGTGGAACACTGTTTGTCGATCTTCAGCCGGGGATCTGTGTGCATACATCCGCCCACATGCCCACGTGATCCCTCACACCTGGGTTAGCTCAGACTCCGGCTGTGGCTCCATCAGAAAGTGCAAGGCCCAGGCCACGAGCTGGGGAGGAAGCCTGGGAAGAAAACCATGGCTGTATGGCAATGGAGACTGGGACTGGTGACTGAAAGCGGGGGGCAGCCCTTGGCACTCACCTGACAGCTTGGACCTGGGCACACAGGGAGGTGCAGGGTGGCTCGTACTCATACTGGAAGGCGGAACCATCACGATGCCTCTTTGGAGGGTCCTGAAAGTGATGTGGTAGCAAGAGCAGGGCCTAGAAGGACCCCTAATCCAAGGCTACTCCCCACCCCTACTCCCAGCTGCACCCAAAGCCCACCCCATTCTACTATCCACCTATGCTCACCCAAACGGGAGTGGATTCCAGGGCTCCTGTGGCGTTTTTTGTCCTTGGAGAGTGATGCCAGTTCTTGAGGGGCAACCCTAGCTCCTTGAACTCCAGGCTGGGTTTCTGGGCCTTGGTCACAGTGGCCTGATGTGGGCTGGGTACATGGCCAAGGGGTGACAGACTTGGGGTGCAGCTCAGGAGTGGGGAACTGGGTACAGGGTTAGAGTGTGGGGAGCCAGGGGGCAGGGGGCCATGGGCTGAACAGATGGCTGGTACAGCCTGGGAGCTGCCCTTCTGCACTAGGTCTGAAGCTGCCAAGGACAGGGCAGGCAGAAGGCTGATGCTGGCACCGCTTTCCTCTGAGGACACGTGGCTGGGTAAAGCTGGGGTTCCTGGGAAGAAGGGGACCATGAGTACAGCCCTCGCAGCTCAGTGGCCTGTGAGTTTAGGCAGGCCTACAGGGACAGTGCTTATCCCCCATCTGGGTGAGCAGCCGTTTGCAGCGGCCTGGGTACCCGGCTGAGAGCAGTGAATGCCTGTGGCCTGAGCATAACCTTACCTGAGGAAGTAGGTGAGGAAGGAGAGACGATAGTCAGCGATAGGTCCTGCAAAGCTGGGTCTGGTGGGGGCAGCTCTGGAGCTGAGGGTCAGGGGGAGCTTATTAGCACTGTGGGCATTGGGCCCCCAGGTACTCCCCTCTTCTCTCCAGTCCTCCTTACCCTGGGCACTGGGGCCTGGGCCCAGAGAGCTCAGAACTCGCTGGTCATTCTCTGAGATGTGCAGCCAGGAGCTGGGGACAGTGTACACAGCTTCTCCCTGTGGGGCATAAACTCTCAGTCTAGCCCTTGCCCAACTCCTCACCCTGACATTTCCCAAGGGAAGCCCCAGACTGACCGTGGCCCTACAGCGGGTGGAGGCCCAGCGGGTGAGGGGGGGCGCTGTGCAAGGGCCTGTCAGCATCAGACAGCTCTCAGCCAGGTGCACCAGCGCCCCCTGATGCTCCTGGTCCTCCTGCACCTCATCCAGAAGTTGAGACAGTGAAAGGCCTAAGGGCAGGGACCAGAGGATGGGCCAAAACTTGAAGAGGTGGGAGGGAAGGTTGGGCAGGGAGAAGAGCTTACTAAGGAAGCAAGAGGTGATGACTGGAGAGGTCACTCTGCGGGTGTTAGGGTCATTGGCCAACCCCCGTAAGTACCTGCGCTGGGGGAGATGGACTCTGAAAGGTGCTCCCTATAGAAACAAAGAGGACAAGCCTGAGGAACAATCCTGAGGCCTGTCTACACAGATTTGACAGAGCCACACTTGGCTGCAGAGCCCAACCCCATACTCACTCCAGGCAGTCAAATAGCTTTTTCTGCACATCCGGGTCCTGGTTGCTGGGGGCAAGAAAGGAGAGTAGCAGGCAAGGTTGTTACTGGAAGGCCTAAGCCCTGCCATCCGAAAGCCCCATTGCAACGGCAGCCAGGCCCGGGTAGGGAGAACAGCCGGTGAGGGGGGCCATCGCTTACCAACCAATCACCCGTTCCAGGGGCTGCTCTGTGGGCAGCAGGCTGAAGCGGTCCACCTGGAGGTAGAACTCCGCCGCCTGAGGGATTGAGTTTCGGGACAGGTTTTGGGGGCTTGTCACGGAGAGCCAGGCTCCTTAACCCGCCCAGGCCAGCCTCTCCACTCACCGCGCCGCCTTCGCCGACTTGGACGCGGACCCCACAGTCCTGCAGCAGCAGCAGCCGGCCTTCTGCCCCTCGGAAGCCGAACTCCTTCTCCTCCCTGCGGCAAGCACGGCCCTCGCGGCCTCAGCCCGCTCGAACACGGCGCCGCCCGCTAGCGGCCCGCCCACCCCCGGCGCAAGCCTCCCTCCCGCTACACTCAGCTGTCCCCGGGCTCCGCGGCGTCTCTCACCAGTCTGAGGCGTTCAGGGCCTCCCGCGTCACTAGGCACCGGACGCTGTGGGTCCCGTCAGACACAAGCAGCGCGGCCGCGACGTCAGATGTGTCAGGGACGCGGGGCGGGCCCGGGGCCTGGGCCTCGGCCTCGGCCTCCTGCAGCACCTGAGGGCGTCCACTGGCGTCAATCCCACGGCCCTCGGGCCCTGCCCTGGTCTCCGAGGCCTGAGAAGAATGCGGGAGGGCTCACCTCGAGCAGCTGCCCCGGCTGCGGACTTGAGAGAGCGTCTGACCCCAGGACCAGCTCTCGAATCCAGGGCCGCAGGACCAAGCTCCCCAAGCCCGCCATTCCCGCAGCCGCCCCGCACCGAGAACCGCCAGCCCGCGATTCCCGCGGACGCCGGGCCCCGCCTCTCGCCGTAGAGGAAGCGCGCTGTGGCGGGGCGGGACCCGAGGGCGACGCCCCGCCCCCATGCGTGCCCGCGCGTGCGCACGAGCTCGTGTGGTTCGGGAACGTGTGTGCAGACACTTTTTCGGTACGGTGGGTGCCTCCGAGGAACGGCCCGGCGTGTGGGCCGTTCGTCAAGACTCCCGTGCCGCCGGGCAGGATGGGGCCCAGGGCTGGCTGGGATGGGAAGGGAAGGATCTGGAGCTTGAGGCTGCGGCCACGAGTGGTCAAGCGAGTTGGCTCAAAGCCACTTCAACACCGTGTGAACCGAGTTGCTCAGCAAATACTTATGGTTCAGTTTCCTCATCTAAACGTGCAGTCTCGTAAGGCCAGTGGAAATACTAGGACACACACAACACTCGGTAAACGCCACTTCCCGGTCTCCCCTCGGAATGGCGAAGCCCCACCCCCAGACTCGGAGACTTGCGCGCAGGAGCGTAATGACGCAAGAGCACACGAAGACGCCCCCACCCCATCTCCGTTTCCTAGGAAACGTGGACTCCGCGTACCGATCACTGTCGCTGCCCCCTTGACGTCATGGTCCGGCCGGGAGGGCGGGGCGAGTGCTACCGCCAGGGGCGGGGCGACGGGCCGGTCGCCCGGGCTGTGCACCTGCGCCCAGGCGGGCCGCCTGGGGCACCGTCCCCGGCCCGCCGGCCTCACCATGGCCAGGCCGCAGAGGACTCCGGCGCGCAGTCCCGACAGCATCGTCGAGGTGAAGAGCAAAGTAAGGGCCCCTCTGGCTCCGGCTCCGGCCTCGGCCCTAGGCGCTTCCAATTCCCTATCCTCCCCTTTCCTGGCTTCTTAGTCCCCACCACCTTTTTCTCGCCTCCATCATTCATGTCCCATTCTCCGGCCTTTCCTCTCGCTTTCCTCCATCCATCCTCCTTCCACTGCCGGCCCCGAGAGCCCCTCTGTGGCCTTGGTACCTGGAGGGCGGGGAGAAGACCTTGGACAGCGTCCCTCGTCTCGTACTGGAGCTGAGGTCTGGGGGCAAGGCTGCAGCCATAGCGACAGCCTTTTCCGACCTCTAACACCCTCGGACCTGTGGTGGGAAAGGGCCCGGGCCCCGTCCTGACCCCTCCTCTCACCCACCCCCTGCCTCCAGTTTGATGCTGAGTTCCGACGCTTTGCACTGCCCCGCGCTTCGGTGAGTGGCTTCCAAGAGTTTTCCCGGTTGCTGCGTGCAGTCCACCAGATCCCGGGCCTGGACGTGCTGCTTGGCTATACAGATGCTCACGGTGACCTACTGCCCCTCACCAACGACGACAGCCTGCACCGGGCCCTGGCCAGCGGGCCCCCACCGCTGCGCCTGCTAGTACAGAAGCGGGGTGAGGAGGATGGGGTACAGTGGGCAGCCTCTGTGGGGTAGGACGGCAGGGCAGGTCTACAAGGGTTAGTGTATGCCCAAGGCGTCCAGGCTTCACCCTCTGCAGTCCCTGCCCTTGGCCTGACCTCCAAGTGGTAGGAAATAGCTACAGTGTCCCCTTCCCCAGGCCCGAGACTGAGGGAAAAGGGCCCACGTGGGAGAGCAGGGTTTCGAGAGCAGGGTTTCTGATCTCAGCACCCCCCCCCTCTCCTGCAGCAGAAGCTGACTCCAGTGGCCTGGCCTTTGCCTCCAACTCTCTGCAGCGGCGGAAGAAAGGGCTCCTACTTCGACCAGTGGCACCCCTGCGCACCCGGCCACCCCTGCTAATCAGCCTGCCCCAAGATTTCCGCCAGGTTTCTTCAGTCATAGATGTGGACCTACTGCCTGAGACCCACCGACGGGTTCGGCTGCACAAGCATGGCTCGGACCGCCCCCTGGGTTTCTACATTCGAGATGGCATGAGTGTCCGTGTAGCTCCCCAGGGCCTGGAACGGGTTCCGGGCATCTTCATCTCCCGCCTGGTACGAGGGGGCCTGGCTGAGAGTACGGGGCTGCTGGCAGTCAGTGATGAGATCCTCGAGGTCAATGGTATTGAGGTGGCTGGGAAGACCTTGGACCAAGTGACGGACATGATGGTCGCCAACAGCCACAATCTCATTGTCACTGTCAAGCCAGCCAATCAGCGCAATAATGTGGTGCGGGGAGCATCTGGGCGTCTGACAGGGCCTTCCTCTGCTGGGCCTGGGCCTACTGAGGCTGAGAGTGACGATGATAGCAATGATCTGGTCATTGAAAACCGCCAGCCTCCATGTTCCAATGGGCTGTCTCAAGGGCCTCCATGCTGGGACCTGCGCCAGGGCCGTCTACTTCCTGGTGCCCGCAGTTCTCTGCCCTCCCTGGATGATCAGGAGCAGGCCAGCTCTGGCTGGGGGAGTAGCATGCGAGGAGATGGTAGTGGCTTTAGCCTCTGATGGGCAAGGATGCAACCCCTTGCCACTCCAGGCTGCTGGGACATGGCAGGGACTTCCTTGGTGGGAGTTTTTAGCTTGCTCACAGGGCCCTCTCAGTCTGGGGAACATTAAAGGTTTTCTACAAATGCAGTCATGGTCTTTCTGTGTCCCAGGCTTAGCGTCCTCCATGGCCTCACAATTTTGCCTTCTGCCCTGGACACAAGGCAGGAGTGATAAGGACAACAGGGAGACCTTCCTGCAGTCAAGCAGCAGGAAGAACACCAGGCTTGGTATTTCTAGGGTAAGAAAAACTCTTAAGGAGACAAACCTCACTGTGTACAAAAGGTTTAATTTTGACAAAGGGGTTAAGAGGCTGGGCTGACCCTTCTACAACCAGTGGTTGGGAAGAGTGCTCCGGGGATACTGCCCACCCCACAGCTCCTGTCTTCAGACTCCATTCTACAATGGGGCCTGATCCTGCCCTTTGCAACCATGCAGCGATCCCTGGTGAGGACCCCCATAACTATTCCCATAAAAGGGCTCAGGCGTCCATCTTCACGAAAACCTTGGGGCGAGAAAAGATCTTGATGGCTTCCTCTACCTGTGCCAGCTTCCGGTCCAGCTCAGCACGATGGCCCTGGGCCTTCAGTGAGTCGGCCCCAGCAGGCAGCAGCACTAGCTCACGTAGCAACTGGCTCTGGCCTACAAGGGGGCCAGGAACAGTGAGTGCTGGGCAGGGGTACCTGGTCCCCATTGGGTTCCCCATCCATTCCACCCCTACCCCCTGCCCATGAACTCACTCTGGAGCAGATTACTCAGTGTCTCTAGCCGCTGGTTCTCCGGCATGCGAGTGTGGCCAGGGGGCATGGCAGGGTCCGGCTGACTATGCTGGCGGGCCTCAGCCTCCCGTCGCCACAGATCTCTGCGTTCCAACAAGCTGCAGATGCACAGGCTCAGAGTTGATGGTCTGAGGGCAGAGGTTGTCTCCCACCCTCCATAGGCCCCCCTCACCCTGGATGTTGGGCAGTGGGACCTACTAATGGGGCACATGGCCCTTCTGCATGGCGTTGTAGTGCTCTTGGGCTTGCCGTTGCTGCTCTAGCACTTGTGCCAGGACCTGCAGTGAGCGGGAATGCCTCCGGGGGGCCCTCTTGGCAGCGCGGGCATTGTGGCTAATGAAGTCCACACCTAGGCTTGGCCCCTGCAGGACATGGCATGATGGGGCAGACAGCACTGTGATGTGCTCCTGAGCCCTTCAAGATCCCTGCCCTACCTCCTGGCCCCACACATCCTCTCACCTTAGCACTGGGGCCTGCTGGGGTTAGTTGAGGACTGGGGACACGAGGGGGTGGGAGCCCAGGGCCGCAGCGGGAGTGTGCCCGCAGGAAGTGGGCAGGCTCTGTTCCAGATGCAGGGCTGGGCTCCTGGAGGGCAAGGCACAGCAGAGGAATCAGTCAGGCTAATGTCAGGGTCTTAAGCCAATTGCACAAGTAAGCTTCTGCTCCTGCCAGTGAGGACATTTCTTTATCTCCAGCCCTATGGGCCTCTTCCCCCTTGAAAGGAACACTTCTATCCATGAGCATTTAAGTATGTGGGCCTCTCACATGTTTAAGAAAACAATGAACCGCCCCTCATTCTACCTCAGTCCTGGCTCTGGCTACCATTCCCTTTTTCTCTCCTTCCAGGACAAGCTTCCTGGCTCTGTTCCCACCAAGGTCACTCACAGCTGGTCTCCAAGCCCTCAAATCCAGAGTCCCTTCCCTCATCTCCCTGTCCTCAGCCTAATCCTAATGCTCAATAACTCCTGGGTCTCCGTCCTCAGATCCAGACCTGACTCTCCATCTGCTTCCTGGACACATGCCCACCCCCTGGGAGTCCCACAAATGCTTCAGCTTCAACAAATTTACATATGACCTTATTGTCTTTTCTCTCAATCCTGCTCCTTCTTCTGAAGACTGGATAGAGAAATGGTACTACTATCTGCCTAAGAATCCCACCACCATACCCCTTCCCCTGCCCATCTCACTGCCCTTCGAAATAAAGGTTACAAAGTGGATTATGTGATCCTTTAGGATGTGGGTCCAGCTGATGTCTTAGCCTCACCTCATGCTCTTCTCCCCTGTGCACAATATCCCACTGCACATGCTACTTCTGGTCTTAGGACTTCTATCTGTGAGGTTCCATCTCAGTAGAATGTTCTCTTCCAGTCTCCCCTTGCCTAATTCCTACTTGCCTCTCAGGAGCACCCAGCCATCACCACTTCTGAGGAAACTCACAGCCTGACTCTGCAGCAGAATCTTCTATTTCCTAGCCCTGGTTACCTTCATCCCCTGTGATTTTTCTCTCTCTCCGTAACTCGGATCTGAGTATAACTGCCTATCAGTCAACAAGATGAACAACGCTTCTGGCTCTCCAAGGCAGGTACCTGCAGCTGGGCCTTGACCCGGGACTCCACTTTATCATATTTGGGCGAGCGCCACAGAGCCTTCAGGGGCCTGGGCTGGCCCTGCTCCCGGCTGTGCTCCTGCTCCCGGAAACGCCTCTGGATCTCCCTGATCCGCTTCAGGTTCTCCTTCTCATGGTCTTTAGGGTCCTTCCCTGGGAAAAAGATGTTGCCAGACTCTACCCTATACACAGTCCAGGAGATCCAACTCCTACTAGTTCACAAACCGGCCCACACACTCCCTCCTACAGAAAGATCTCCCTGACCTCTCCCTGACTTTCTCCAAAGGCATTACTTATTCCCTTCCTGACATAGTAATTATCTTCTTCTGTCCCTGATTATTCTCTATATTTTTATTGTGAAGTACATCATTAATCATTTTGTATATCATATCCGTCTCTTCACCTATAGGGCAGGCACGCAGTAGGCACTCAGCAGACAATGTTTCGCTGATGCATGAGTTCATTAAGCTGAGTTAGGGTTCTCGGGAACTACGTCATCAAGTCCTCTCCTGTGAGGAAGTAATGCATTTCCCCGTCCTTCTAGAGTTGGGGAAAACGACACTCAGAGGAGCAAAGCCTGAGCCCAGATCTGGGAAGGAGAAGCAACGCTTTTGACTTCCCACTCGCTGCGCTACCCCTTCTGTCCGAACTTACTCTTGGGAGAGGCTCCTGGGCCTAAGGAGATGCCCCTGAGCTGCAGCAGCACGCCCCCGACGCCGCTCCGGCCACGCTCCAGGATCTCTCTGGCTCCGGGATTCCTGCGCGGGCCGCGCGGAGGGGTGGCGTCCAAGTCAAGGTCCGATGTCAGCAGGTCCAGCTTCAGCGCGTTTCCCTCAAGGCGACCTAGGGCTGACAAGCCAGACGGGGCGGAGCGCGGGGCTCAGTGGTGGAGCAGAGCCCAAGCTCGCTCGGGCCTCGCCCCGCCGCGCCGACCCCCACTCACCCGAGGCCGGCCGCCGGTAGTAGTCAGGGCAGAGCGTAGGGTCTGGAGGGATGGGCCCCGAGATGCGGGACGGGCCCTCGCACATACCGCCTCCGCTGCCCTGCAACGGTGCACCGAGGCCTGCTGGGCGCCGCGGTTCCGGGCCCTGGCCGCGTCCTCAGCCCCGCGCCTCCTCCCTGGTGCGGGGCCGGGATCCTGACCCGGCGGTGCCCTCCGTTCCCGCTGCCCGCCAGCGCTCGCCGCCTCCGCTGCCAGCCCACTTCCCTGCCCGGGTCACGACCCCTTCCCCGCCACACGCGGGGGGAGTTTTGCCGCTGGCTGCTGCAACCCCACGGGCTTGCTGTTGCCAGGTAACAATAGTTTCCGTCCCTGAGGTCAGGGGCCAAGGCCCCCTGGCGCACAGCCTTCTGGGGCTTGTAGTTCCAGCTGAGGGTGGAGAGGAGCCACCGTCAGGCGCCCTTCCCAGCGGGCTGCTGTGGCCGGCGGGTCTCTGGGGCCAGCGCCAGGTCCAGAGGGCCGGCCCCTCGCCTCCTCCCCGCAAGCAACCGTCGAGGAGGCGCTGACTCCTCGCAGCCATGGCCTCAGCAGGGGCCGAGAGGCGGCCCGGGGCCCCGGAGGGCACCGCCGCGGGGCCGGCACAGCCCTCGGAGTCGTCCGGTGGCCACGCTCAGAGCTCTGAGGTGACCATCAGGCTGTGTGGTCTTCAGACACTTGTCCGCGGCACCCTGGGAGGCCAAACTCTGTGCGACGCTCCCCTGAGTGCCAGGACAAGCTCCCCAGACAGGGAGGGCCATGGGCTGGTGCCCTTCATCTGCCTTTGGTGTTTGTCCGGTGTCTAATGACTGATCCCCTGCATCCTTTGCCTGGTGATCAGTTACCTGTGTGCCACCTCTAGTGTCCAGTGATGGCAGACCGGTGCCTGGTACCAGCCTATGAGGCCTGCCGGACCCTGGGTGAAGACAAGGGCCCAGCAGGACCAGTCTCAGAGCCGGAGCTCCAGGAGGAACAACTCAGGCTGGAAGAAGAGAGGCTCAAGCTAGAGGTGGAGTCGTTAGAGGAGAGAGGCCCCAGGCCCACGGCCTCCGTTGTAAGGACCAGTCACGGTCCGAAGAGGAAGCCTGTCAAGTGAGGGGGCTTTCAGAGGGAACAGCTGCTGGGCTGGGGGCGCGGTGGGGGGTGGGCCGGCGCACCAGCAGGGGTCCTGAATCCTGCACTCCTGCACAGTGCCACAGCATCCGGTCACCGCTGTCACTCACTCCCTCTGTTCCCGAAGGACCCTGGCATGGGGGGGTGGGCAGCGAGAGGAGTCTCAAGGCCTTGTCAGGGACCTGAGCTCCCAGGAGCTCTAGTCCTCTGTCCGGCCCAGAGCCTCACTGACCAGGAAGCACACAAGAATCTGGGCGCCAGGTGGTGGACAGACAGGGCTATTCCCTATGGTCAGGACAAAGGAGCCAAAGCTGGAGGCCGGCTCCTTAGCCCCCTGTCCCCCAGCTTTCCAGGGCCCAGCCACCAAGCCCATCCTAGGGTTGAAGTGGAGACGCCACAGGGCCTGCCGTTGCAGAAGGAGGAGCCAGAAAGTAGCCAGAGTGAGCCCTTACCATCTGCCAAACAGCACAAAAAAGCCAAGAAGCGCAAGAGTCTGGGGGCTCCAGTGCTCCCAGCAATGACCAGCACAGTGTCTGCACCTTCAGAGACGTTGGGGCTGGAGCGTGAGTGGCAGCTCCTGGGCCTCCCCTTTTCCTCCTGCCTGATGGAACTCTGACATGGCACAGCTTGGTGTTCCAGCTCTTGCCCTGCCCTGGGTCTTTGCAGGAAAGGCCCAGCGCCTGCGGCCCCTGTACCAGTACATCAACTATTGCAATCCCGAGCTGAATCAGGCAGGGGAGGGGGACAGGGAGGCTGAGGCAGAGCTGGAGCCTGAGTTGGAGCTGGCCCTGATCCCCGAGGAAGCAGGTGTGGAGCAACTGCAGGCCTTGCTGCCCGTGGCAGGTGAGCTGGCCTCAGGCCTCACTTTGCCTTGCCGCAGTACATTTGTGTCTTCCACCCATGCTCTGGTTCCCCTGGGAGAGGAGGTTGGAGAGGAGCCCGGTTGTTTGCCCAGCTTGGGGGTCAGCAGCCGCCTCAAGGCTGAGGTGGATAAATCAACCCAGGTGGACATCAACAAGATGCTGAGTGTTTGCGCCGCCCCACTTGTACCTCCACTCTCCCCTCAGTACAAGTGACTTTCCTGCCTCCTTCCCCATTGGTGGCTCCCTGTCTCCAAAGCCTGAATCAGAGCAGCAGCCTTAGGCCCTGGGGGACGGAGGTAAATTAGTCCCTCTCCCTACTTGGAACCTTGGACTTGCTGAAAATAAACATTTTTCCTTTTCCGAGACTTTGTGACTTTCCAAATAAGACGGCTGAAGAGAGGCTGGGAAGGTGGGTGCGGGGTCTGAAGCCTGACTGGTCATCCGGATCACCCAAGAACTTGGGTGAACAAAAGTACAGCTTCTTGGGTACTACCCCAGACCTAACCAAATCAGAATCTGCAGGAGTAGGGCCTACTTTTGTGCATTTAAAGGCTCCTCAGGTGAACCTGAAGGTCAGACAGGGTAATGGTGGGGATGCAGAAGGAGGTAGTAAGGAGAAACTTGGGGCAGAGAAAGAAAAGGGACAGTCAGGTCACAGGAAGCAGATGCTTGGCTTTGCTCCATTTCCTAGGGAAGTGGCCTGCATTTGGTCTGACCTTGAGGGTCCAACACTTGGGATCTCCCATTGAGGTGTCAGAGTTCATTTGCCTGTCCCAAGAGTGGTGTCTTTAGACTGCTTTCCACTTACTGGAGGCAACAGCTGGACCAGTTTTTGCCCCCAAAGTGGACCTAACAGAGGCATTGGTGCCTTTTCCCTGGCAGCCGGGGGTGGGGTGGGGTGGGGTGGTGGATTCGAGTGTTCTCCCTGGAGCCCTGAAGCCAAGCCACTGGATAACTGCTGCGTAAGAGGCAGCCTTTGGCCTTTTTGGAAACCTCATACCTGCTGCCTCCTGGTCCTTCTGAATGTCCCTCATTTACCTTAGACATAGGGATTTCCAAATTAAATGAATAACTTCTCCTCTCTCCAATCTGCTTTTTTTTTCTTGTGTCTCATCTACATCACTGTTCAAGCCAAAATCCTGGGGGTCACCCTGGGCTCCATCCTGTTCTTTGCCGGTTCTTTACTCCTACCAGCTAATCAGGCACCAAGGCTGGTGAATGTACCTTCTAGGCTGAGAGCCTCTAAGATCCCATGGTCAGCACTCCCTCCCTGGGACACTCTTACCTTCAGGTGAGAGCTCATTACTCTCCCTGCTTGTGGCCCTTTGCCCAAGCAATCCACCCAGTGATCCTGCCACACACACACCTGAACCCAATGGTGTTGCTTCCCTTCTAGCAGCTTGCTCCTCTTGCCTCAGCTGCCTTAAAACTTTTAAGTGGTTTCTTATAAGTTCCTGACCAGCCATATATTTATTATTTTTTAAAAAGATTTTATTTATTTACTCATGAGAGACAGAGAGAGAGAGGCAGAGACACAGGCAGGCTCCATGCAATGGCCCGACATGGGACTCGATCCCAGGTCTCCAGGATCACACCCTGGGCCGAAGGCGGCGCCAAACCGCTGAGCCACCTGGGGTGCCCCATATCTTTCTTTTACTCTCTGCACGTGGGCTTCCCCTGCCTAAAATTCTTTTATTTCTTTACCCCTCCACCTGGCTATTGCACTCTTAACTTGAAGACTTGGGGGGATCTCTGCTTCTAGCACCCAGTATTACCCTGTGGCATTTACATACTACTGCTGTTGTGGGCTATAACTGTTTTGGGGGCTAGGCTGTGAACGTTTGTCATTGCATTGCACCCACCTAGCAGAGGGTCCCCATAAAAGGCACAAAGATAAGGAGACCAAGGTGGGGAGCTGAGGAGGTTGCAGAGGACAGGTCAGGATCTGAAAGGCTGAGGCCATCCAAAGTCCAGAACCATGTATGGGGTCCCTCAAATAATGGCCTGGCAAGATCACTGGAAGAGATAGGATGGACAGGCCTAGATGGAAGGAGGAAGAAAATGGGCGTCATCCCAGGCTGCTTCCACCTTTAGGGGTCACCTGGATGCTCCCTGGCCTGGTGGCAAGTCCACAGGGCAAGCCATGGGGTCTGGACATTTATTACTTCTGCCCACACTTTTCCTTGGGTAGTGACTGGACCACCCAGAAGATAGATCCCCCACAGGGACTATGCAGACCAAGTCTTGTCTATAGGGATGAGCATGGATTCTCCAGGACTTTTCAGAGGTAAAGGACTCTTAACTGAGTTTGGGGGCACCTGAGTGACTCAGTCGGTTGAGCATCTGCCTTCGGTTCAGGTCATGATCTCAGAGTCCTGGGATTGAGTCCCGCGTTGGGCTCCCTGCTCAGTGGGGAGTCTGTTTGTCCCTCTCCTTCTGCCCCTCACCCCTTCTGTGCTCTCTCTCAAATAAATAGGGACGCCTGGGTGGCTCAGTGGTTGAACATCTGCCTTTGGCTCAGGGCATGATCCCAGGTCCTGGGACTGTGAGTCCCACATCAGGCTCCCTGCACCTGCTTCTCCCTCTGCCCATGTCTCTGCCTCTTTCATGAATAAATCTTTTAAAAAATCAAAATCTTAAAAAAAAAAAGGTAACCGGTTGGCTGACTCAGTTAATGGCTGGGGAAGCAGAGGCCTTGAGAGAAGTGGCGTTGCATAAGATCATACCCTGGGCACCAGGGACACACTGTTCTTTCCTGAACCCTGGAGATGTGTGGACCTGAGAACTCTGGTTAAGGCCTGACCCAAGAAGACCGAACATCTGCTTTCTATGTACAGGTCTCCAGGGCTGGAGGTGTGAGCCAGGCCAGTACTGACAAGGAAGCTGTTTCTCTCTTCCAACAGGTGACATAGGAAATAGTAATCACCAAAGGAAGAACTGATCTACATTCACAGGTCTATTTCCTGACAGGTTTGTCTAAGCAGGGTGAGTGAGTCCTCTAGGAAAGTTGGGTGGCCTTTCAAGAAGAGGATATGCCAGGAAAAAGCCTTGCTTATGTGAAAGAGGTCAGCCCCATGCAGGAGGACCATTTAGCATGGCTGACGCAGAGGCATGGCCATCGGGAAACCAGGTTGGGCAGTTCTGGGAGTGATGAGAGGGGGTGTAGGCAAGGACATCTTGGCCTGGCATTTTGGAGAGGTCACTTGGGAAGGAGTGAGAAGAGCAAAATGAGGGAGTCTGGGGACAGGGAGGTGAGGACACTGCTGGGTTGGACTGATGATTGGGTAAATATGAGGCCTACATTTGGTTGGGGGTTGAGAAATAAGCAATAGGTATTTTGGAAGTTCTTTTCTAGTTGCTCTCACAGAGAGGAAAAGCGAACTGCATTTTCAGTGACTTGGAAAAACTTACTCTGACCCAAGGAGGATCCGGAGATTAAGGGGATCAGGTCCAGGGAGGTGATGTTGTCCTCCTCCAGGAGGGGGCGCTGCAGGACAAGCCTGGATCCACATGCAGGCACAGTCACCCCTAAGGACCAGAACCCTGCAGGCTTCCTTGGCCACAGGCATCTAGGCTATTTCAAGGTGCATCTCCTCCCTGGGACCAACCCAAGACATATATGATGGTGAAGATGTCTGGAGGATGGCCATGGACCTAGACTCTGGGGAGTACCAACAAGGAACCTCAGGGTCCTCACAATAGTAGCTCTGCACCCAGCCCACCGCAACCTGCCCTGGGACTTCTGGGGAACCTGTCTTTGTGAAAAAGGAGGTTGCTGTAGAGCCCTATAAACGTAAGTGCCACTGTGGGTCAGTAACCTGGATGGCTCTTAATTAGGAGCAAGTGAGTCATATATGATGGACACATGTACTTTCTTAGTAAGGGATCCCATCATCCTAGAAACACAGAGGGACTGACCTAGAGCTGATCTGATCACCCCAGGAGGAAAAGAGCAGCCTATTTCCTTCCTTCCTTTTTTTTCTTTCTTTCTTTTTTTTTTTTTTTTTTAAGTAGGCTCCTGGCCCAGCATGGAGCCCAGTGTGGGGCTTGAACTCATGATCCTGAGCTCAAGACCTGAGCTGAGGACAAAGTGTCCCACACTCAACTGACTGAGCCACCCAGGTGCCCCAAGCAGCCTCTTTCTAAATTCTACCAGCATCATGCCTTGCAGGCTCTCTCTGCAGTCCACCTCCTAGCTGAGGCCCAGCGGAGATTCCTGCTGCAGAGAGAAGGCAGTAACGTGGATAGGACCCTGAGTGCAGACGGCAGCACCTGGACACTCAGTCTCTGAGATCTGCAAGTGCTGGGGAGAGTAGTTCAGGGTCAGGCTCTTGTAGTCAGATGACCCTGACCAGGCTCCTTCGTGGCTCCATCACTTATAGGAGGGAGTAACTTTGCCCCTCCCTGCCTCAGTTTTCTGATCTGAATAATGAGAATAGTAGTACCCCACGGAGCGGTTTGGAAATTGTCTCAGGGAGCTGGGGGGGGCAGGTAACATGCAATAATAAGCATACTCCCCAACACTAGCTATTATTTTATCTCACAAGGACAAGGTTTAAAAACCAGGACAACACACAGGAAAATCAGCCTGGTGATTTCTAGAAAGATGCCAAGAGGAAGAGGGAGACTTCCTCAAGCCTTTCTCTGGCAAGGAGCCCAGGGCAAGGAAGAGGGAGGGAAGTTGGGAGAAGGGAGGAGTTCGGGCTAGGCCTAATCCCAGCAGGCTGGCAGAGGAAACAAAGGGACACGGGTGTCCTCTCCCCCCACCAACCTCACCTCTGAGGTGGTTAAAAAGCAGTCCCAGTGTAGAACACTTCCTAAAAGCATGGCTGGTGGCCAGCTGTCTGGGCCAGGCAAATTGGGGCAACATGTAGAGCTTTCCTCTAGTTCGTCTCATTCAGGCTCCCTGGGACCAGTCCTCCCGTCTCCTGGCCAGAGCTCCCCAGAGCCAAATCCATGGTTTCAAGAACAGATTTCTTCGTGGCCTCCAGCCTAGGGAGGTCCCCAACTCTCCCTCCCTATCTCCCGGAGATGGCAGGCAAGACAGGAGGTCTCAAGTCCTGTTCTCTGAGAAAAGATTTCCTTTTCCTTGGAGGGCTCCTGGGATTCAGCTGGAAGGGAATAAGCCCACTAGACTGAGATGGATGCAGAGCAGGCCAGAGCTGCTGTGGAGCCCCAAGGAAAGAGAAAAATATGAACAATCTACAACAATAAA